AGAGCAACTGAAGAGCACTCTCGAAATTGACGGATCCATTTAATTTTGCTGTTTATACAATCTTCAATTTTTCACCAGGGCAATAAGCTTTAAATACCCACATTTAATTGAATTCAATCTTAAAACATATCTTTAAATATTTTGCTTCTTTGGCTCTCTGTGTCAAATGGTTACCAACCTCTGCGTTACGAACTATAAATATCGTGCAATCTGTGCATGTGTTACCCTGTCTGCCCGTGTCGCCTCAGACTATTCTACCATTACATGTGATTAAGGATTCTCGACAGAATCCGAAACGTCAGGAAAATAAAACTCTTATTACAGTGATCGCTTGTTCTTCTTCTTCTGAACTGCTACCTAGGACTTGCATATTCACTTCTGTTGACAACTTTCAGAAAAGTTTGGATGACTACTTCCTATGCGCATTTCAATAGCAATTTGGACACGAATGCAAGATCCGTCTATGGTGTTAGTTCATTAAGCTAAACAGCGACCGGTCCGACACCTTCTGTATGGCGTGCGCTTCACTGTCATCGTCAAGCACCATAATTCTCCGCAGAATTATGTAACGTGCATAAAATCAACATGACCTGGTGCCAGTGGTATGGGTGTGACAAGCATGCATAAATGCGTGCGTAGGCTGAGCAGGAACTTTACTACGAACGTAATACAAGTGCATCCGCCGTCGCTATATAAAGCAGACAAACTGTTCAACTTGAAGTGACATCACTGTCATGTTATTCAAGGCAGGTGTGGTTTCGGCTCTGCTGGCATTCACCAGCCTCACCGGCTTTGAGGCTCGACCGACTTTAGTCCTTCCAAATGTTTTACAGGAGGCAGCTGAAGGGAGTCTCGGGGATATCTCACCAGATCTGGGAGTGGAGGGCGAGGAAACGGAAGGTCCGATAGAAGTCAATACGTTGACGGATTTCCAACCGACAGACTCTGCCGAGGAGAGTGTTCTAGATGCAGAAGAATCTCGTGTCAAGCCTTCTCTGCGTTTTTTGTTTCCGCTTGGTCTTCGTATTCCCTTCTTTCCACGTATTCCTTTGTTTCCTCGTATTCCTTCTTTTCGTCCGCCTCTTCGAGTGCCTGGTTTTAGTCCGCGGCCTATTCCTCTGCCACTGCCTGTTCCTCGTCCACTGCGTCTGCCTGGCCCTCGTCCACTGCCTCTGCCCTTTTCACTGTTTGGTCTTCGTCCACGGCCAATTCCTCGTCCGGTCTTTCATCCTCGACAAGGCCTCCTCCTTCCACCTCTTCTTGCTGCCTTATTAGGTCCTGCGATTGTGTACCAACAAGCGGAAAACCCATCCAAGGATGACAACTCGACGAATTTCGATCTTCCAAATCTCCCGGACATACCGGACCTGTCGGGCATGCTGGGCGTAACCGAAAACCCATCGCAGGATAATGTCATAACGAATGTCGAGAGTAGCACCCCTTCATCCCGGTGTCTATACTGCCTGCCTTACTCGTATCCGACCTCCAACAGTAACTCGTCCTCGTCCAAGATTTTCTACTGGTGCTTGTGTCCCCATCCCCCTCCTCCTACTCAAAATTCGATCCCTGTTGATTCTGATTCTTCTTCTCCATCTGAAACTACTTCTACAACTACCCCTTCCTCTCCTCGCGTTAAACAATGACGTGGAGGACGCTCTCAGTGGATGCCCCATTAATTATGACAATAAATTTGCCATTTTCATTGTTGAAGGTTTTCCTCCTCAAAATAATGAGAAGCTGCTTCATCTGTTTCCTGAATCATTCTCTTTTATAATTTTGCTTTCCCACTTCGCCGCTATGTCCACGCTCTAATCACGATATCGAATAATGTTACGATGACTTAAATAAATACCCTTTTGAGAAGTGAATTTGGCAAAAAAAATTTTCAGCAAATCTTCGTCAGGCCAAAATATTTGCAGGGGGTAATTAAAACTTACAGATGGGCAGGGTTTATAAGGGTAGTCTGATTGAACTTAATCGTTTATACGTCGCCCGCATGGCGAGATCGCAATGTACAGGTTAATGTGTTGGGAGAAGGGAAGGAAGGGCAATTGGGTTAGGTT